CCCGCCCCCGCCCCAGGGCCTCTAGGCTATTTTTTTCCTCCACAATATCTAACATTTAATCAAGAACCGCAGGGTCATCTTTGACTCAACTCCTCTCTCTCTATAGATAGCTATAGAGATATATAGAGATCAATAAGTAGATTTATTTCCTCCCTCCCTCATTCCTTCCCTTTCTCCCTCTCTCTCTCAATATACCCACCACCTTGTCCCTGATCCAGGCCACTCTCTCACCAGGCTTAGCGGAAACAGTCCCCTATCTGGTCTCTCTGCTTGTTTGACCTCACTTCAGTTTACTTTCAACCAAGCAACTAAAAAAAATTTTTTTAATCAAATTATGCCAAGCTTCTACTCAAAACCCTATAGGAGCTTTTAACCCTGGAGTAAAAGCTGAAGTCTTTGCATTGACCTCCAAGGCACAACACTCTGGTCTCTGTCTTCATCTCCTAATACTCTCTTCCTTGAAGTCACTCTGTTCCACCTACCCTGGCCTCCTTAATCTTATACACAACCTGCCTGGTATACACTACCTTAGAACTTTCACTGGCTGCTTGTCCTGGAATGTTGTGCCAAATAGTCTCAAGTTGCATTTCTTTACCTCCTTCATGTCTCTCCTCAAATGTCACCTTCGCAATGAAGCCTTCCCTGGCCAATATAAAAATGCCAGGTTCCCCTATACCCCAGCACCTAGCCTTCTTCCCTACTTTATTTTTCTCCTTCGCTCTTATGACTAACACACATATTCTACTCACTTGTCTCATTTTTATGAGTCCTTCACAAGAATATAAGTTTCATGATGGCAGGAACTTCAACAGCAGTTTTTCACTGCTATATCACCAGTAGCACTGGGGATAAGGTAGACAAGAACAGTGTTTGGCACATAGCAAATACTCAAAAAAACTATTTGTAGAACAAATCACTCCATTTCAGACCATTCAAGAGTTGTCCAGAAGATATCTAGGATTGTCAATGAGGAAGAAGTCCCTATTTTGCTGCCATGGGCATAAGTGATACTAGAAGTCATAGATGTGAATGAGATTGCCCTGGGAGAGTAGAATAAGGGAAATAGGCTGTGAATAAAAACCTGTACAAGAATCTCTAATGGCTATCTATTTATTTGTAAATTCCAACTGTGGCTGGTATAGGACTATTGGCTACCCACTCAATATCCATTCTTCCCAACATCCTTCTAGAAGAATTTGTTCTCCTTCTCCTGATCAAGTGCTTCTTGGAGGTTCCCAAAGCCTGGGGTCCTGGTCTAATCCAAATATGGTGGTCCCATACAGATTCTAAAATTAAGTCAATGATATGATGTAATTCTGGTCATTTGGGAGTTTACAGGGGGCTTTGCTCTTCCAAAGTATCTTCTCTTTTGTCTTCTGGAATGTGGTACTTCTACTGCTATCTTGTTGAAGTCACAACCCAGATAACAGAATAGAAAGGTGGGGAAAGATGTGTTGTTGATGATGTGCCGAGCCAAGTTAACCAACCTCTGAACTTAGGTGAAAGAGTATTAATGAATTCCTCATTGTTTCAACCACTTGGCTTGGTTTCTGTTACTTGAGGGTAAAACTATTCTAATTTATATGCTTCAATACTTCCATGATATGCCCAAGCTTTCTTTCTAAAGGTATTTCTACAACTTCTCTACACACACCCTTCTTAAGAGTTCTCCATGTACATCTTGGGCTTTTGAGCCTTTGATCAAGCCATTCTGAATGCACTTACCCCAAGATCCTGGCCAGTCACTATATTATCCCTCATCAAACACAACTTACATGTCACTTTCTCCTCCAGCCTTTCACAAATTACCTCAAAATTAAGATCTCAAATCTTCTGGCAGCGTTTTTACCTCTGGCACTTACCACACACCTCTGTGTTACTGTTACTTATACAATACCTACATCTGCTTTTGACTACAAACTTCAAAGCAGAGTGGTCCAAAGGATTTTAATATAAAGGCTTAACATTTACCAGGCACAGCTCTAAGTGTATTTATTAACGCTTTTAATACTCACAATGAATCCTAAGAGATAAATTCTGTGATTCCCATGTTGTAGATTAGGAAATTAAGCAAAAAAACATTAACTTGCCTGAGGTTAGGGAGCTAGTACAGTGCAAAAGCTGGACTCCAATGAGGCAGTACTTAGCTGAATTGAAGGCGTTAGTTCAAGTGCAAATAACTGACCACAAGGTATACATCTACTTCACTTACACAAACCGCAAGAACTTTAACACTGCTAGTACTAAAACCAAAGCATCTGTGTTTCTAAGCGTAGACCCGCCCCACAATGCTCTACTCTTCAGAGCCTGGGACCTGATGAATTAAGGCTTGGAGGAACTAAGCCTTTAAAAAAAAAAAAACTCAATAAACCGCCCACCCCTTTTCCAAATGTCTGTGCGGCGGCCCTTGTCGCTCCGTGAGCCCAAGGAGCGGTGAGCAGAGGAGGAAGGCGGGGAAATGCCTAGACAGGGCTGAGGAAGGTGGCGGCAACCAGTCCCTGGGGCGGGAGAGGTGCAGGTGCCAGGAAACGTCAGGAAGCCCTTCCTGGCCCGGGCAGGTAACAGAGCCGGGAGCCCGGCTGCCCGGGGTGTGTGATCGTAAAGGGGCAGCCTGGGATTGCGGCGGCAGAGACCGAGGAGACACAGCGAAAGACGCCCGAGAAGAGCAGGAGCACGTGCGCCTTCGAGAATGGCGCCGACACCAGCCCTGAAGAGCCACACTCCAGAGCTGGCCCGGGGCCAGCCGCCGCCAATATCCCGCCGGCTTCCGCGAAGACCGCCACGCCCCCCATACGCGCCTCGCTTGCCAAAGAGCGCCCAACCCGCAGACGCAACTGCAGGAAAGGCACGGGTGGGCGGAGTCAAAAGTCGGAAGTGCCCTGCCTCGCCGGCCTTCCAGGGAAACCTACCAGCTTGAACTACCCGGAAGTACCGCCCCCAGCCGGAACCCAGGATTGCTTGGCAACGGATGCGGGCTCTGTTACCTCTGGAGCTAGCCGGGCGTAGCTCCCACCTCCTGCACCCGCAGCCTGCGGTCCCGCCCGCCTCCTTTCTTGTCGTCCCTCATCGCGTCGCGGAATCCCGGCCCTTGGCACTACTTACATCTCTCGGGCTCCCATGACGCCTTAGCGCCCACTTGCCGCAAAGCCAACCTTCACTCATAGCGAGGCGGTCCCTTCCCCAGAATGGCCTCTGCGTTGACCGACCGCACCTCTCGGTCCATGAACACCTACACCTACACCAGCCGACCCCGGGCGCTGCCCTGCCATCGCCGCCGTTACCGGGACAGCCTGATGCAGCCGTGAGTGACCAAACCAGTCCCTCTATGGTCTCCACTTGCGCCCCATCCCGGGACCAGGGCCTGACCCCTTGCCCTGGCAAAAGCTGCCTAAGTTGCTTTGCCTGTCTACCCTCTGCCGAAATAAAATTTCTGCTCTTGAGAACTCTCCCGTAGTATGGAGAGTGCCCTCTCTCAGCTGACTTTGAGTGATGCTGTTCAGTTGCTGACATCCAAAACATGTACAGAAATCGACCTGTTTCACAAAGTTTGAGTCAAGTATTGTATATTGAGGGCCAAACACCTTACTGGGGGCATTTATATACATTTTCTTACTTGTCTGCAGTGCTGCAAGGTTGGTTTTATAACTCCATTACGCAGATAAGGAACTGATCACTTTGAGAAAACCAAAATAGAAAATTTAAATTTGAAGAGGGATTATTTATGTTATAAAAGGATCTAATTTAAAAATGACTCTTTCTCAATGGCACTTTCTGGTACCATTAAGTGGTTGCTTACACATCATTGCTATTAAATCACACCAACAAATTAGAAAGAAATATCAATAGTGGTTTATTAGGAACTATTTTTTTGATAGTTATTTGGTTAGTATTGAAGTAATCTGTTGATTAGTTGGTTAGCATATTGAAATAATGCGGATGACATAGTAAAATCTCAATTTCAAGGAAGTTGCCACTGGGCTCAGTGGCTCAGCCTGTAATCCCGCCCCTTGGGAGGCTGAGGTGAGTGGATTGCCTGAGCCCACGGGTTCGAGACCCGCCTGGGCAACTTGGTGAGATTTCATCTCTACAATAAATCAAAAATTAGCCAGGTGTGGTAGTGCCCGCCTGTAGTTCCAGCTACTTGGAAGACTGAGGCAGAAGGATCGCTGGAGCCCAGCAGGTTGAGGCTGCGGTCGCCAGGAGCAGCCACTGCACTCCAGTCTGGGCGACAGAGTGAGGCTCCAACTCAAAAAAAAAAAAAAAAAAAGGAAAGAAGTTTAGTTAACTCCTGGTTCTACAGACCAAGACGTATAAGAAGCAAGGTGCCAGCATCTGCTTGGCTTCTGGTGAAGGCTGAATTTTCATGCTATGTCATAACATGATAGAAAAGGTCAAAGAGGAAGCAGATACGTAGGAAGAGGGCCAAACAAGAGGAGGAACCTCATTTTGTAGCAACCTACTCTCAGGAACAAATCCTGCAAGAATTCTCAGTCTTTTGAGAGTGAGAAGTCACTTACTACTGTGAGAACGGGCACCAAGCCATTCATGAGGGATCTACCCTATGATCCAAACACCTCCTGCTAGGCCCCATTTCTCATCACTGCCACATTGGGATCAGATTTTATTGTGAGTTTTGATGGGGACAACAAACCAAACCAGTACTGTTAGCTAAACTTGCTGATGGGTGATTAGATGACCATATCCAAAAAAGAGAACATTTTTATGTCAATCTGTCTCTACCCTGTAATGCCCTTAGTTCTATTTTATTCAAAACGTTTTGTTGAACTGGAGAATCTCTCCATTTTCAGATGACACATAGCTGGAAAGGATAACATGCTTGAAGGGGGTCAAGGTTCCAAATTATAATGATTGGGTATATAACTGGGCTAAAACCAAAAGATGAAATTTAATTGGATAGCTGTGAAGTTCTATACTTAGGTATGAAAAGTCAATGATACAAATACAGAAATGGAAATAACTGATTTTTCATGTGAAAGGACCTAGAAATTTAAGTTTAACACAAGTCTAATGTGAGTCAAGCGCTCCCACCTTTTCATAGGACCATAAATATTAAAGCTGAAAGAGAACATTTGAATACTAGTCTTCTCATTTACAAAGAAGAGAATATGATACATCTTTTATACATTTGTTGGTAGTTAAGTGATCATAAACTTGATTATATTCACCCTTAGGCATGTGCCCCAAAATAATTGCGATAATGACATTCTCATTTTACAAATCCTTTGGTAAAGGATATAAAACCTCTAATAAAAATAACTTTTTAAAATGCAGATTTAAAAAAATGTTATCTTAGAACATATCTTTTTTTTCTCAGATCAGATAAAGTTTAAAATCATTGTGGTAGGTGGAATAAGATTCCCTCAAGAGGTCCTCTCCCTAATTCCTAGAGCCCATGAATATGTTACCTTATGTGACAGAAGGGACTTTGAAGTGTGATTAAGTTAAGAATCTTGAGATGGGGAAATTTTCCTGAATGACCTAGGTGGGCCCAATATAATCACCGTGGCTCTATACAAATGAAAGAAGGCAGGGAGAGTCTGAGTCAAAGGAGATGTGGCAATTAAAGCAAAGATCAGAATCATGCACATACTGACTAGAAGTAGCCACAAGCCAAAGAATGGTGGTAGCCTCTAGAAACTGGAAAGGGCAAGGAAGCAGATTCTCTTCCAGAGCCTCCGAGAGGAGTACAGCCCTGCTAACACTCATTGTGGACATCTGACCTCCAGAATTTTTTTATTTTATTTTTTTTTTGAGTCGGAGTCTCACTCTGTCACTCAGGTTGGAGTGCAGTGGCACTCTCACGGCCACCACAGCCTCGACCTACTGGGCTCAGGCAATCCTTCCGCCTCAGCCTTCCAAGTAGCTGGAACTACAGGCATGTGCTACCATGCCCAGCTTATTTTTTTGATTTATTGTAAAAACAAGTTCTCACCAAGTTGCCCAGGCTGGTCTCGAACCCCTGAGCTCAGGTAATCCTCTGGCCTCAACTTCCCAAAATGCTGGGATTACAGGCTTGAGCCACCGCACCCGGCTGACCTCCAGAATTCTAAGAGAACACATTTGTTCTGTCAAGCCAGTTACATGGTTAGTAGTGCCATTTAATGAACTAGGAAACACTAAAGAGGTAACAAGCTGGAACAGAGTAGTAATATTTGCTCAATTTTGAGATTGAGATATCCCAGGGAGATGTTGGTGGGCAGCTGGATATGCCTAGAGTTGAGAGAAGAATTCTAAGCTAAGAATAAAATAAAATTGCGAGTTTTAAGCTTATGGATCATAATTGAAGCTTTGAAAAAGGATGAGGTCAGCTAAGAACAAGAGAAGGCTGAATCCTGGAATTCTTCCAGTGTGGAAGGAGCTGTAAACAAACCCTGAGAAGAAGCCACCAGTAAAGCAGCAGAAAAACAATCAGAAAAATATGGTGGTAACTCAGAGGCTTGGAAAAGAGAATGCTTCAGTGAAGGACTGGCTCACTAAGCTGAACACTACCCAAAGGTCAAGTAAGACGAGCAGTGAAATGTGTCAGGATGTTCAATAGTGGCCTCAATATCTGATGAAAAAACAACTTATACCCCACTCAAAACCATTTCCGATCGAGTACTATTATTGATGTTAGTAAATATTTGGTTTCATAGCTATAAATAGGATATCATTTAAACAACTTTGAATGAAAATACCACCTGTGTATTTATATTTTTTTACTATAAATCATTTATTCAGATCCCTGAAATTAAAATGTTATTGACTTTTTTTTTTTTTTTTTTTTTTGAGTTGGAGTCTCACACTGTTGCTCAGACTAGAGTGCAGTGGCCGCTCCTGGCCACTGCAGCCTCGACCTGCTGGGCTCCAGCGATCTTTCTGCCTCAGCCTTCCAAGTAGCTGGAACTACAGGCGTGCGCTGCCACACCTGGCTAATTTTTTTTTTTATTATAGAGATGAGGTCTTGCCAAGTTGCCTGGGCGGGTCTCGAACCCGTGGGCTCAGGCAATCCACTCACCTCAGCCTCCCAAAGCGCTGGGATTACAGGCTGAGCCACCGAGCCCGGCCATTATTGACATTTTTAACAATAACTTTTTAAAAATCTTTGAGTTTAAAGAACAATGAGACATTTGACTTATTTTTTAAAGTCTGATTATTTTATTGTTTTAACTTTTCAATCTTTGATTCAAGATTTTTTTCAGTCCTTTGGGGAAAATCTTTTTTCATATGGGCCTTTTTACATTTGTTACGTAATTATATAGATCTGCAGCCTAACTCTAGCTCTGCCACTTATTAGCAAGGTGACACTGGGCAGATTTCTTTCTAAATCTATTTTTCCTCCTGTCAAAAAGGAATCATAGTTCCCAACTTGAAGCTTCTTGTGAGCAGTAAATAAAATAATGCATGTGCAGGACCTAGCATAAAATAAGCATTACATAAATAGTATCCATTTGTCTCCTTATTTTATGGCCCACACTAAAATAGAAATCTGTTTTCTTAAAGTATTTTCATCTTAGTCTAAATCCTATTGAAACTAAAATATATTGAACTGTACACTTTAAGTGAGCAAATTGTATGGTATGTTAATTATAACTCAATAAAGCTGTTCAAAATAAAAAAAAATTTTAAATAAATAAATCCTATTGAAAATGAGTTTACTTCATAGAGACCAACACTCTATTAAACTAGTTACTTAGAATTTTCTGTGTTACAGAGATGAAGAGCCTATGCGTTATGGAAACATAATGTATGACAGAAGGGTAATCCGTGGCAACACTTACGCACTTCAGACAGGGCTGCTGGTAAGTTCCATTTGAATAGTTTAACACCAAGCTATGACGAAGGATCAGTCTGTCTGTATTAATTCCCAATTCATTGTAGACTAAACATCCATAGAATAAAGATGAATTACTAGAAAATGAAATTATTATTATTAGTAGTAGTAGTGATATCTTGTTATTATTTTGAGTCCAAGTCTCACTCTGTTGCCCAGGCTGGAATGCAGTGGCACAACCATGGCTCACTGCAGCCTTGACTTCCTGGGCTCAGGCAGTCCTTTCCACCTCAGTCTCCTGAGTAACTGGGACTACAGGTGCCTGCGACTGCACCTGGCTAACTTTTTGGTTTTTTGTAGAGATCAAATCTTGCTATGTTACCCACACTGGGCTCAAACTCCTGGGTTCAGGCAATCCTCCCACTTTGACTTTCCAAAGTGCTAGGATTACAGGCATGAGCCACCATGCCTAGCCAGTAAACAAATTTTTTTGGGGGGGGGAGGGGTGGAGGCCCTTGGCAACAGAAGTTTAATTTCTTGTAATTCTGGAGGCCATAAATCCAACATCAAGCTATTGACCAGGGAGGTTTCTTTGAGGCTTCTCTCCTTGGCCTTCTCTTTCAGTGCTCCACTCCCCACTTCCCCAACACCAGTGTCAGCAGGAGCTAAACTACCACCACCACCACCTGACACCAGCAAGGTGTACAAGCTGACCCTCTACTTTTAATAAAGTGTTATCAGCAGGACGCAGCAAGGAGTTGAATTTCCAACTCTACCCAGACTCACATACTAAAACAAAAAGAGGTAACTTCCTGCTAAAAGATTAAACAGGATCCAAAATATTACAATATAATATGGCTGCCTTCTGTCTGTTTCCAAGGGTCTTCTCTTGTGCTTCTGTGTCCTTATCTCCTTTTCTTATAAAGTCACAGACATATTGAATGAGGGCACACTCCAATGAACTCACTGAATTTTCTCTTTAAAGATCATATGTCCAAATACAGTCAATTCTGAGGCACTGAGTGTTAGAACATCAACACAGGAATTTTGGTGAGGATACAGTTCACATGGTGAAATGATATGTGCCAGTAATATTTTAATAACTACAGCTAAATTACTTTCCAAAAGAGCTGTGGCATGTACATTGTCCCCAGCAGCCTTTGAATGTACCTTCTTTTCACAGAAAATGAAATTTTTAAAAAGACATATAAATACAAGCCCAATGGTGGTTGCCAGGGCTGAGGGTAAAGGTCATAGGGAGTTATTGTTTAATGGGTACAGAGTTTCAGTTTCGCAAGATGAAAAGAGTTCTGGGGATGGATGGTGGTGACAATTACAGAACAATGTGAATGTACTTATGCCCCTGAATTGTACACTTCAAAATGGTTAAGGTGGTAAATTTTATATTATATGTATTTTACCACAATTAAAAATAATAACTAAAAAAATACAACCTCCAAATTTTCATTAGACTCAACAGAACTCTGGAAAACTGCTCTAAAAGTTTCTAAAATTTCCTCTCAATTTCTGAATTTAAATTATTACAGACCAGCTCAAACAGTTCACAGACAGCTGAAGACCCTTCTTTGAGTAGCACTGATCTAATACATCTAAGTTTGTTTAGATTATCTCACACTCTAATATAGTTATTATTTAATCAAAAGTCTGAATTATGCTTCTTTTCTTTAATTCATTCGTCAAATATTTATTGAGTTTTAGGTCCTGTGCTAGGTACATAGGATACAAAGATGAGTAAGACAGGGAAAGACATTAAGGGTAGTGATTTCTTGGCACAGACCTGTGATATAGTGAATCTGTAAACAGTACATGATATATAAGTGCCTAATACAAGATGGTGATACAGACACTTCTCTGTTTTCAATAGGGTTATGTCCCAATAAGTTAAAAATACATTTAAGCCGGGCTCGGTGGCTCAGCCTGTAATCCCGCGCCTTTGGGAGGCTGAGGTGAGTGGATTGCCTGAGCCCGCGGGTTCGAGACCCGCCTGGGCAGCGAGACCTCATCTCTACAATAAACCAAAAAAAATCAGCTGGGTGTGGTAGCGTATGCCTGTAGTTCTGGCTACCCGGAAGGCTGAGGCGGAAGGATCGCCGGAGCCCAGCAGGTCGAGGCTGCAGTGGCCGGGAGCGGCCACTGCACTCCAGTCTGGGCGACAGAGTGAGACTCCAACTCAAAAAAAACAAAAAAACAAAAAATACATTTAAAACACCCAGCCCACAATATATCATAACTTAGTCTAGCTTCCCTTAAACATGCTCAGGACATTTACATTAGCCTAAAGCTGGACAAAATCATGTAATGTCTATTTTATAATGAATTTTTTTATAATAAAATGTTGAATATCTCGTGTAATTTGTTGAATACTATACTGAAAGTGAAAAACAAAATGAGTGTATGAGTACTCAAAGTACAGTTTCTCCTGAATGCTTTTGCACTATCTTAAAGGCTGGAAAATCTTAAGTGGAACCATCATAAGTCGGGGATCATCTGTATATGGAATGTTGGACAGTCTGAAGCAGTGGTTCCCAAACCTGGCTATGCATCAAAATCACCTATAAAACTTATTAAAATTATATATGTATCAGCCCAATCCTGGATCCTCCTGCATTAGAACCTCCAGGAGTCCCCTGCTTCCCCCACTGAGGTGGTATCAACAAGGGTAGAGCAGAAAGCTGAACTTTCACCTTCACCTAGCTGCAATGAGGTAGTAGGAAATGGTACAAGTCAGTGTTCCACTGTTTCTGGGGTGGTGTCAGCAAAGCCAGTAGGAGGCTGAATTTTCAATCCTATCTGACAGTAACGAGGAGGAGCAAGATGGTATGAGGCCATCCTCGTCAGTGCTCCACTCCCCCCTTCCCCAGCACCAGTATCAGCAGAGCTGAGCAAGGAGCTAAACTACCACCACCACCACCACCTGACACCAGCAAGGTGGTGCAAGCTGACCCTCTACTTTTAATGAGGTGTTATCAGCAGGGCGCAGCAAGGAGTTGAATTTCCAACTCTAACCAGACTCACATACTAAAACAAAAAGAGGCAACTTCCTGCTAAAAGATTAAATAGGATCCAAAATATTACAATATAATACCCCAAATATCAGGATATAAATAAAAATCCACTCTATACAAGAATCAGGACAATCACAACTTGCGTTAGAAAAAACAACAAAGAGATGACAATATCAAGATGACTTAGATTAGGAATTACCTGATAAGAATTTTTAAAGCAACAATCATAAAAATGTCTCAATTAAAAGTGAACAGTAGCCGGGCTCGGTGGCTCAGCCTGTAATCCCGCGCCTTTGGGAGGCTGAGGTGAGTGGATTGCCGGAGCCCGTGGGTTCGAGACCCGCCTGGGCAGTGAGACCTCATCTCTACAATTAATCAAAAAATCAGCCGGGTATGGTAGCGCATGCCTGTAGTTCCAGCTACTCGGAAGGCTGAGGCGGAAGGATCCCCGGAGCCCAGCAGGTCGAGGCTGCGGTGGCCGGGAGCAGCCACTGCACTCCAGTCTGGGTGACAGAGTGAGACTCCAACTCAAAAAAAAAAAGTGAACAGTTAGGAACACAGTTGAAACAAATTTTTTTTAAAAACTTAGCAGACAAATATAAAAATGAACCAGATGGAAACTATAGAACTGAAAAATACAGTAACTAAAATGTTTAAAACTCACTGGATGGACCTAATAGTACATTGGAGATGACATAGGAAATAATCAATGAATTTGAAGAAAAATAAATGGAAAATACCTAGCCAAACAACAGAGATAAAATAGACGCCCCCCATCCCGAACCTCAGAGAGCTGAGGAACGATAACAGAAGATCTACATTCATTTATTGGAATCCCAGAAGGAGAGGAGAAAAAGTGTAGGTTGGAAAAAATAGAGCTTGAAAATTCCACAAATTTGCCAAAAGGCTTATAGATATGAAAAACTAAATGAACCACAATGAGGATAAGCCAAAAGAAATCCACACCAAGACACATCAAAATCAAACTTTTGAAAACTAAAAGCAAAACATTTTGTTTTTTTGTTTTTTGTTTTGAGTTGGAGTCTCACTCTGTTGCCCAGACTGGAGTCTCACTCTGTTGCCCAGCCTTGACCTGCTGGGCTCCAGCGAACCTTCCGCCTCAACTTTCCAAGTAGCTGGAATTACAGGCGTGCGCTACCACGCCCAGCTAATTTTTTTTGATTTATTGTAGAGATGAGGTCTCACCAAGTTGCCCAGGCGGGTCTCGAACCCGCAGGCTCAGGCAATTCACTCACCTCAGCCTCCCAAAGGCGCGGGATTACAGGCTGAGCCACCGAGCCCGGCTAAGCATTTTGAAAGCAGCCAAAAAGAAATGACATATTAGCTAAAGGAAAACAATGATTTCAATGACAGCACGTTTCTCATCTGAAACATATATGCATCAAGAAAGTGGTACAATATTTTAAAGTCCTTTAAAAAAAGAACTATCAAGCTCTAATACTAATCCAAGGAAAATTTTTTCAGATGTTCTAAATGTCAGCATAGAAGGAGGCTGGCTTTACTTCCCCCACACCCAGAAAACCAAGAACAAGTGTACAGTGCCAAGATTATCACTAGCAATACCCCAGAGTTCAAGTATGAGGAGGAGATAGTTCTCAGGCCACAGAGAAGTAGAAAATCAACAGCCAGCAAAGTAAAGAGTCAAACCACAGAATGGGAGAAAATATTTGCAAACTGCCTACCTGACAGGTTATTAATAATCTGAATATGTAAGGAGCTCACACAACTTAATAACAAAAATCATAATAACCTGGTTTTTAAATAGGCTTCAGATCTAAATAAACATGTCTCAAAAGAAGATATACAAATAACCAACAGATATATGAAAAAAAGATTTGGAAAAAGATGAATAAAGTGGAAGGAACCATTCTGCCCAATATTAAGACTTATATATTGACCTAGTTATCAAGACGGGATGGTTATTGGTGGAAGAATAGACACGTGGGCCACTGGAACAAAATAGAGAACTCAGAAATATGCCAGCACAAATACATTCAACTAATTTTTGACAAAGTATCAAAAGCAATTCAATGGAGTAATGATAATCTTTTAAACAAATGGTGGAGGAGCAATCAGACATCCACAAGAAAATTAAATGAACCTTGACTGTAACCTCACACCATATGCAAAAATTAATTCAAATAGATCATGGATTTAAATGTGAAACTATAAAATTTATAGAAGAAAGTATAGGAGAAAACCTTCAGAACCTAGGGCCAAATGAAGAGTTCTTAGATATGACACCAAAAAATATCTGTAAAAGAAAAAATGATAAATTAGACATCATCCAAATTAAAAACCTGTGATGCAAAAAACCTGTATAAGAGGAGGAAAAAAGCCAGGCTCAGTGGCTCAGTCTGTAATCCCACGCTTTGGGAGGATGAGGTGAGTGAATTGCCTGAGCCCGCGGGTTCGAGACCCGCCTGGGCAGCTTGGCGAGACCTCATCTCTACAATAAATTTAAAAAATTAGCCAGGCGTGGTAGCATGTGCCAGTAATTCCGGCTACTCGGAAGGCTGAGGCCAAAGATCGCTGGAGCCCAGCAGGTCAAGTCCACTGCACTCCAGTCTGGGCGACAGAGTGAGACTCCAACTCAAAAAAAAAAGAGGAAGAAAAGACAAGAAAATATTTGTAAGTCACATGCTCAAAAGAGATCTAATATCTAGAATATATAAAGAACTCTCAAAACTCAAAAGTTAAAAAAAAAAATTAGAAAAGAGCCAAAAGATATGACCAGATATTTCACCAAAGAGTGAGACAGAGATGGCAAATACGTACATAAAAAGATATTCAACGTTAGCCATTTGGGAAATACAAATTAAAACCATAACGCTGTACTACACACCTATTACAACAACTAAAATTTAAAACTAGTGATAATAGCAAGTGCTTGCAAAGATGTGGATCAACTAGAAGTCTTGTGTATTGCTGATGAGAATGTAAAATGGCACATCCACTCTGGAGAGTTGCTTAGCAATTACTTGTACAATTAAACATGCACTTATCATTTGACCCCAAAATTACACTCTTAGACATTTATCCCAGAGAAATGGAAACTTGTTTATATATAAACCTGTATATAAATATCCACAACAGCTTTATTTAGAAATTTAAAACACTTCCTAAGTGTCTTTCAATAGATAAAATCTACTACATCACTTAAAAAAAAAAAAAAAAAAGAATGAACTATTGGTATATACAGCATCATTACCTTCTACATAGAAAATCCCAAAGAATCTACAATAAAGTTCCAGAACTAACAAGTGAGTTCAGCAACATTAGGGCATTATGTTTAGTTTAAAAAAAAAAAAAAAAAAAGCCAATCTCAAATAATTATGGACTGTATGATTTCTTATACACAACACTCTTGAAAAGACAAAACTCTAGAGATGAAGAAATATAACTGGTTGACAAGGGTCAGACATGGACATAGGGCTTGGGAGCAGATAAGAAGGGCTACCCAAGGAAGTGCCTTTGTGGTGATGGGACAGATCTGTATCTTGATTGTGACGATGGTGGTTACATCCCAGTTCAAATGGGATAAATTACATGGAATTGTATATACAAACACAAATGCAAGTCAGTGCATGTAAGTATTGTGAAAACTAAAGACCTGTTAACACTATTTTGCCAATGTTAATTTTCTGATTTTGTTATTATGCTACAATTAGATAAAATTTCAGCATTAAGAGAAGTTGGATAAAGGATACACAGAACTCTACTATTTTTCAACCTCCTGTGAATAATTTCAAAATAAAAAAAAATTTTTTTTTTTTGAGATGGGATCTTATTCTGTCGCATGATCACAGCTCGCCACAGCCTTGACCTCCTGGGCTCAGGTAGTTCTTCTGCCACAGCCTCCCGAGTAGCTGGGACTACAGGCATGTACCACCACACCCAGCTAATTTTTAAAATTTTTGTAGAGATAAGGTCTCACTATATTGCATAGGTGGGTCTCAAATCCCTGGGCTCAAGTGATCCTCTTGCCTCAGCCTCCCAGAGTACTGGGATGACAGGCATGAGCCACTGAACCTGGCCTCCAAATAAAACTTTTTTAAAGAGATGCTTTACACTCTGAAATGGTTGGATTAGGCAATGCATTTCTAAATTTCTATTGCATTTATGATAATATTCCGAATATTGTAAGAACTGACATTTGTAATTCTGCTTCATGAAATAAAATGGAAAGAAATCAAGCATGATATTTACAATAGTGTAAAGAAAATACACAAAGGAAAAGAGTGTTCACTCAGTGATCCCAAAATGATATCAGTAAATGTATTCTTCAGATAAAATTGTAGGTAATTCCTTTTTTGACAATATGGTTATTTTATAATAAAGTATATGATAACCATGCCGGGGAAGAGCCATTCTATGTCAGATGTTGTATTGGGCGCATTATATGATCATTCGATTTGTTCCTTACAACCAAAACCTTAGATAGATGTTCTTGGTACTCTTGTTGTACAGGTGAAAAAAACTGAGTATCTAAAAACTTAGGCTATTAGTCTAAATCTTACGAGTTCAGGAATTAATAAATGGCAGGTTTGAATCTGAGCTTCAGAGCCAGTGCTCTTGTTTGCACTATATGATGCCAATATGAGGGCAAGTTTATGATAGTGTTAAATAAGAAGGACCACACAAAACAACATATCCTTGCAACTTCAAAACCTCTATACATTGAAATTAGATGGAATCATAGTTTTCTTCTCTCTTAAAAAAAAAACTTTAATGTTATATTGTCATTTGAACTAAAATGTGTTTAGAATTTTAATTATTAAAAATATTTTCATGCAAGATACTATCATTTTCCCTTTCTTTCCCTGTTTACCTTGAGATAAGACTGGCCAGCCATAGAAAGTGTCTACACAGTAAGATGCAGATACCAAATTAAGGGCCACCAAATATTGCAGGACGACTGTGAATAATTGTTTCTAATCCCTTGATCAGCATATCATTTGTACACTTGGAGAGGCTTTATTCGGACTAAGGATTTTTTTTTTTTTTTTGAGGATATTTTCTTTGTGAGCTAACATATTTTTTAAGATAATTCTGTCCAAATGATACTCAATTTTTTTTTAATTCTAGTGTTGTTCAATTTCTTACCTACTCAGTAAAGTTTATTGTAACTGAATGGTTATATCAGTTTTACTAGGCACCAGAGGAATTCATGGTAAAAATGCTTGAATTAGAAAAACAGTTTATAGATAGGATTCTGCACCCATTTATTCCAGTTCATAACTGTACTTTGAAGTTACTTTTTGCTTTGTCAAGCGTTGTTGTCATTACCTTACAAAGTTGCAATAAAAATTTAATCGTCTCTGATAATCAGGAAGCATTATTATAATACATGCTTTTATGCTATCCAGGAATCACTTTTGGAATGGCAGTTCCTGTATACTTTGAGAAATATTTTCTAAATTCTAGAAGCCTTTTCTGTCCCTGTTAGCCTGGACAGCCTGATCCTCTACAGCTTCAGAAACAGCAGGAGGCTAAGAGGAGGGCTCTTGCCAGAAAACGAACCCAGGAGCAGCTCAGACCACGAACGCCTGAACCTGTGGAAGGCAGAAGGCATGTGGATGTGCAAACAGGTGTGTGACTGTGCCACTGGTATCGTGGCTCCTTGATTTACTCAGTTGTCTATGTCAGTTTCTTTTTATTTGGTCTTTGTGTTATTTATGCATCCCCTGTGCTATCTGATACTTCCCAATCACATTGGTAGGGAAGTTCATTCGTTAAAGAAACACATAGAAGCCGGGTGTAGTAGTTCACACCTGTAACCCCAGGACATTGGGAGGTGGAGGTGAGATGATTACCTGAGCCCAGGGTTTTGAGACCAGCCTGGGCAGCTTGGTGAGACCTTGTCTCTACAGCAAATCAAAAAATTAGCCAGGTGTGATGGCGCGTGCCTGTAGTTCTAGCTACTTAGAAGACTGAGGTAGAAGGATCACCTGAGCCTAGCAAGCCAAGGCAGCTGCAGTAGCCATGAGCATACCACTGCGCTCCAGCAGTGAGACTCTGACTCAAAAAAAAAAAAATTAAAAAAGAAATACATAGAGTATATACTGTTATTATACTGAATATGGCTGAAATGTAGGGTTAAAAAAAAATTGTGGCCAAACAAATTCTCTCTTAGCCCTTTTCAAATATTCTTTTCTCAAACTGGGATTCTTTCTCATAGACCAACATGAACCTCTGTTCTTTTCATCAGGACCTTCAGGAGAGGAGGGTAGTGTAGTTTTATTTTGGCATTTTGTTTGTTTTGAGAGGAATCAACTCACTCAGATCTGCATCATCTGCCTCTCACGCCAGCCTCTTCTGTCCTTTTGCTTTTCTGTCACTGTATATTCCCCAGGGCCACACAGCACTCCTGTGTCTCACTGTTCTCTGCTATAGAGGCTTACCTGGACCTATAGGGTCTAGCTGTGTTGCTGACACTCTTGGTAATCAGACAAGGCGTGTTTTCCTTGGGCCACTGTATCTACTTCAGTAAAATTCAACGTGTAACTGCCAGGATCATTTCTGGGTGGTAAAGGCAAAAGGAAGAGAATCGCTTGTTTTTTCCCCTCTTTTAGGTCAAATCTAGAATGAGTGAATGTCTCATTGGCCAATATAGTTGTACTTCTGTGAGAGCTGAGTTTTAGTGTTTGTGCTATCAGAATATTATGTGATATAATGGCAGCCATCTTTTGTTGAGTATTTCTTCAGCGATGATACCAAGTTTTTTACTACTATTTCCTCAGAGACTATACCAGTTCCTTTACCTGTGTACCTCTTTTATTATGACAAAGATTCCATGTGACAGGTAGTTATGATTCTTTTTATAAATGAAGAAAGTGAGGCCCAAAGAGGATGTAACTTGGCTAGGTCCTGTGTTCAACATCTGACTCCAGTGTTCATGTTGTTTGCATGATACCACATTCCTCTTGTCTCATAAAATTATTCCTCACATGAAGTTTGTTTTCATACATCTGTTTATAATTTATAGGGTAGAGGAACCATCAGATAACATGGTGACTTGGCCATGATTTTTTTCCAATGTCTAGGTTTTTTTCAAATCGTTATACATTTACTATCTTAGGATTCAATTATGTATATATGCAAGGGGGGACCTCAAAAACTGGAATTTTTTTTTTTTTTTTTTTTGAGTCCGGGCCTCACTGTCACCCAGGCTGGAGTACAGTGGCATGACCTCAAAAGCTGGAATTTCTTATGAAAAATTGTGTATTTATGCTTACATGTTTTAACTTCAGCCACCTTCAAAGTACTCTTTGTTTGATGCAATACACCTTTATCACTGGTCAAAACAGCTTTTGAACTCATCAATTTTTGACACCTTTTAGCACTTCTGCCATTTTCGATTTCACTCTTTCACATCGGCAAAACGTTTCCCTTTGAGTACTTTTTCATCCAGGGAAACAAAAAAAAGAGTCACTTGGGGTGAGACGGGGTGAAGAGGGAGAGTGGAGCATGAGGGTCCTGCCATTTTTGGTCAAAAACTGCTGAACCCTCGGTGTGGTGTGGGCAGGTCCGCTTATAAATCACCCATCGTGAAATGGGCAAACGCGTTGAAAGACTCTCAGAAAAAATTCAGTGAAGCTGAACGCAGCTGGTACACGGATGTAGATGGGTTCCTAGAACACTTACCTGGTAGTGGATGCCTGTACTCTGAGGGGTTTGCCCTCCAAAAGACAACTCCAGGATTTTTGGGAGGTCCCTCTCATATTATTAGTTTGTTATCCCCTATTACACTCTGCATCTTATGCACATCTATGATCACATGTTCTTCTTTAGTTCCATTTTCAAATATGAAGCTTAGTGCTTTCTAGACATTCACTAAATGTCTTGGAATGACTGACTATATGGTCTTCTAAATATATAAAAACTTTTAGTTCAGTATGTGAGTTGAATCCCACATTTGAACACTTTTGTTCTAAGACTTATTTTCTGATCCATTTTATTCTGTTTTGAAGAAGCTAAAATTTCAAGTCCTTGAAATAGAACAGAATTTTAAACTCAGTGTAGTGTCTTCTTCTTAGAACTTTACCTTGAAGAAATTGCTGACCGCGTGACAGAAGTTGATATGGAATGCCAAACAGATGCATTTTTGGACAGACCACCAACACCACTCTTCATTCCTGCCAAAACTGGCAAAGATGTGGCCACCCAAATACTAGAAGGAGAGGTACAGTGCATTCTGTGGACTTCCTTCTACCATCTTTGTAAATAAATTAAATTTGGGTAACGCTTAATATGGGCAATAACCGCTTTACAGTCTGAAAGATTCTACTTTTTGGATTTCTTTCCAGATATTATCTATAATGATTTTATCCTATAGTACCCAGAAGTGTTTTCAGATGCCATGCTCTGACTTCTTTGCTGATTAGAAATAAAATAATTACAAATGTTTTTAGAATATTTACACATTGATTGTTTACATACTTGCTTAATTATGTATATAAGGTAGATTTGTATCAAAGAAGGAAAACTAATATCCCTGATATAAAAGATTCCATGTAGTTGTTTGTGGATTATATAACTTTTATAAGAATAGTCTCTCTGCTAAAAAATTTTTTGATAATTACATATTCCTATCAGTGTGGAATGCATAAATAGGTCAGTTTATGAAATTGAAGAAGAGAAGGCAGTGATTATGTTCATAATGACCAAGTGGAATTTAAGACTTGAAGGAACTTGAAAGAAATGTCATTGAAATTGGGAAATAAGATAACTCTTCAGAGGCTAGAGATGAATCACCAAAATATCCATTATTCTTGTTCCTTGTTTCACCAAAAAATAGCCAGTAAAAGTCAAGCAGAACAGGCAGAGAATAAGAAAGACAAGGATATTTTCCTTGTGTTTAAGAGTTTAATCTTAAAATTATTGAGTATCAGGGTTCATTCTGATGAATACCTAGATTTCTTTCATAACTTTAACATAATAGATTTTTGCCTGTAACCAAAGTGCTGTTCATTTTGAAGACTAGAAACCATAAATAAAGCACCATCATAGTGTCTGGTACACAAGAGACACTTAATATCCCAATATTGCTATTCTTCTTTATGTTTTTTATTGAGCGTTTGGCTCATGATTAAAATTTTAAGTTTGCTTTATTTTGTGTGTTTAAGCTCTTTGATTTTGATCTTGAAGTTAAACCAATGTTAGAAGTTTTGGTGGGGAAGATAATTGAGCAGTCTCTTCTGGAAGTAATGGAAGAAGAAGAGTTGGCTAACCTGCAGACCAGTCAGTATGCATATGAAGAAATGAGAAATGCTGAACTTGCTGAAGTTCAACGACTTGAAGAGCAAGAGAGACGACACCGAGAAGAAAAGGTATAGAATTCTATTTTTCTTTCTTCAACACTCTTTTGGCAGCTTAGCATATTATGTTAAAATTTCATGTGATGTATCATAAAGCTGAAGATCTCTGGGAATATGTTAGAAAACGACCCATAGTATTTGTTGCTTAGTTCTCTCCTATAGATCATAAATCTTTTTTCTTTTTGAGTTGGAGTCTCACTCTGTCGCCCAGACTGGAGTGCAGTGGCACGCTCCTGGCCACTGTAGCCTCAACCTGCTGGGCTCCAGCGATCCTTCCGCCTCAGCCTTCCAAGTAGCTGGAACTACAAGCGCGTGCTACCACGCCTGGCTAATTTTTTTTGTTTTTTTTTATTGTAGAGATGAGGTCTCACCAAGTTGCCCAGGCGAGTTTCAAACCTGCGGGCTCAGGCAATTCACTCACCTCGGCCTCCCAAAGTGTGGGATTACAGGCTGAGCCACCAAGCCCAGCGATCATATCATGCATATGAATTACATCTTTAAAATTTCAGCTTATATAAATATACCTAAATTGAATTTCCAAAAGTTCCTAAATGAAATGAAACTTCCTAAATTATATTTGCCTCAGTTAGCCTTATATGTCAGGAGTCCTAGAGAAAGAAATACATATGTTGGTTTTCCATAAGTTAATGGTAGAAAGATGGAAGGAGGGAAAAAGTGAGTATGCTGGGAAGAGACTGAGGGTAAGAAGTAGGGGAGCTGGATAGAATTCTGGGTCTTTTTCTCAGTGACCAGGCCCTTTTCTGTACTCTTAGGGATGTACCAGAAACTTGAGTTCTTGTAGAACATTCTTCAGATTAAAGTTTTTCTTTGCCTTCAACAAGAAAAGTTTTACAATCCAGTTTTTTAAAAATATGCCAATAGCCTGCAGTTAGGACACCCTAGACACAGTAGTTTTTCTGGTTCTGGCAATAACTGTCATCCTTTATTGTATACTGATGAATAAATTATAAAGTAATACCTGAATACCTAAGACAGTAAAAATAATTTCCCAAAGGGCCTAACTTACTATGAAGAATAGCTTAGTTGTTGGGAAATCCTACTCAATACCTAATTAAGTGGACTTTAAGTTTTCCTCCAAAATGAATAATTAATTATGTAAAGAGCATAGGGCTTATGATAAGGATTGCACAAATGCAAGACTTTGTTTAAAAAATATAAAATAAACACTGACAAAATAAGCTTAGTTGAAATAATCAGTGAAATCTTTATCAAAAACTATCTGTTTATTTATTACTGGGAAATATATTATGGAAAAAAGGAATACAAGTCATCTAGATTTAGTTTTTCTTAACCTTTGAAGACAGATTTAATTAGAAAATATACTAATGTCCCCACTTCCACATGAGAGTAGAGAAGAGGATTCATTAACTTTGTAAATATTACATGGTCTAAAGAAGGCAACAAAAAAATAAGAGGCTTTTATAATCTTCAAAACCATTTCAGCTTTATGCATTTAAAGAATGATTACAAATGAGTTCATTCATTGGCCCAAGTTCTCTTCTTTTCTTTTCTTTTGAGTCGGGTCTCACTCTGTGGCCCTTGCTGGAGTGCAGTGACATGATCATGACGATCATGGCTCATGGTAGCCTCAACCTCCTTGGCTCAAGCAATCCTTCTATCTTAGCATCCTGAGTAGCTGCGACTACAAGTATGTGCACCACACCCAGCTTATTTTTATTTTTTTAATTTAATTTAATTTTTTTGTAGAGACAACAAGTTGCTGTGTTGCCCAGATTGGTCATAAACTCCTGGCCTCAAGCAATCCTCCAGCCTCAGCCTGTCAAAGTGCTGGGATTACAGGCATGAGCCACCATGCCCAAGTTCTTTCACTGAAGACATCTAAGCAATTTTAATTTTCTTATCAGTAACACTTTATATTAATATTAATAAAAATACATATAATGATTATCTTTCTTCTATCATCTACATAGTCAAGCATGTATATCTTGAAATGATTTTACTTGAAAATGGATCAGGAGATGAGTTTTACCTTAACCTCCATCTTCTGTACCTTTTTGAATTCATTACCCACTAGTTCTTGAAATTCATTAAAATTTTGATGAAAAATATGAACCTTTAATAGACTGACACCTCACTGTCTATTTTTTGATAAGGTTAAATTATTTCACTAATTTACTTCACTAGACTCAGCACTTTGGGAGGGCATAAGAGCTAAACAACCATCTACGCTACTCTTGGCAGGACCGTCGTAAGCAGCAGCAGTGGGAAATAGTACACAAGCACAGCGAGACGGCACAAAAGATCGCTGCCCGTTCATTTGCACAGCATTACCTGGCGGACCTTCTACCATCTGTGTTTGGCAGCCTCAGGGATAGTGGCTACTTTTACGATCCCATTGAAAGAGGTTTGTGTATATTTTTGTAAGAATAGCTCTGTTACAATAAGCATCCTCTTAATGGTTTACATTTATCTCATGTCCTTTTTTGTTTTGAACTAGAATCTTCCTATCTCTGAAACAAATAAAGAAGTGAATTATAGTTGTTTTAAGTAAGTACTGTTGCTAATGAGAGGTATATTATAAAGATCTTGATTTTAGTATGTTAGTATTTCTTTATTGAAAAGCAACATTGTATAGTAGAAAGAAGTAAGGACTTGATAATCAAAACTTGATTTGAGGACCCAGCTTCATCATTAACTAGATTTATGACCTCCAATTTCCTCATGTGTGAAATGAGGATTATTTAGGATTAAGTGATAAAGTATATGAAACTTTGTATAAAGCACTTTGTGTAAAGTACTAGGTATATGTAAGTAGTTATTGCTATTAACTTTTTCTCAGCTGACTTCTTATTCTAATCGAAAACCCTTTGGGGACAGCTATTGTAGCCATTTATTCATTTATTAGGCTCTTACCCTGTCTTAGACTGTGTCAGGTGTTGGAGAGAAAGAAGGTCCCTGATCTCTGCCTTTAGGAGCCCACAGCCTGATGCCATCTGCACATATCCCCTCAAAGCCCACTCCTCAGCTGCTTAGCCAGTGGAGGGGAGGAGTTGCGTGTCCTCACTGCCACCGCCTTCCTCAGGGTGAAAAGCACTTATGCCCACAGTGCTTTGTGTACAGACCCTATCTCATTGGCCAGTAGTATTCGGGGCAGATATTAGTAGTTAATTTTCACTGATTACATATTTAATCATAAAGGTTAGGTCACAGACAAATATTAGTTTACATTTATATTTTTCCAATTTTCATAGTGTTTTTCATATGTGATATCATTTGATCTTCCCAAAAACCCTGTGGGGTAGATAAAGAAGATATAATTCCCATTTTTCAGAAGTAGAAACTGAGACTCAGAAGTTAAATGCCTCTCTTTCAAATCCTCAGTCAGTAGAAGTGTTTACATCTCAAATTGATTTGGAATGCTAATTCCAACCTTATTTTCTGTCATGGATTGCCCAATAAAAGTCAGTTATAGGTCATTTAAAAGCTTGCAAGTGAAATTCATGCCTGAGATTGAAATTATTTATGAATATTCTATCACACATTGTCATCCTATTGAAAAATAAAAATTAGATGCTTGTCCCAAAAAAGGCTATTTTGAAACATTAAAACGTATATTATAATACACTATTATCTTTTAAATGTTTGCACAGTAGATTTCCATTTCAATTTGAACAAACTCATTGCTAGTGGAAATACCTAGTTCCTGACCCATTTCCATGTGGCTGCCTCCTCAGATGCCCTGTGATCCGCATCCTCTGAATCTGATCAGTTTCTTTCCATTAGTCCCTAGGCTTCAAGAGGATCATTCTTCTTACTGGCATTGCTCAGTCCCAGATTTGCATTACTTTTGGATCAGAGTTCTCCCAAATTTACATCCCCTCCCTGCCTCCATGACCCATCTCAAATGCACCTATAAGGTCAGCTCCAAATGCCTGGACTCCAAGGGAGGCCTCATAGTTTTTAAAATATTACTTCTGCAATAGAAAGGAAACTGATCAGAACATATATAGAGAATATGACAAAGGTTATATCATATGAGTTGGTTTAAGATTTCATTTTAAGAAATCACTGTTAGCCAGGCTTGGTGGCTCAGCCTGTAATCCCACGCTTTGGGAGGCTGTAGTGAGTGGATTGCCTGAGCCCGCAGGTTCGAGACCCACCTGGGCAACTTGGCGAGACCTCATCTCTACAATCAGTCAAAAAATTAGCCGGGTGTGGTAGCACGCACCTGTAGTTCCAGCTACTTGGAAGACTGAGGGGGAAGGATCGCCAGAGCCCAGCAGATCGAGGCTACAGTGGCCGGGAGTGTGCCACTGCACTCCAGTCTGGGCAACAGAGTGAGACTCCAACTCAAAAAAAAAAAAAAAAAAAAAGAAAGAAATCACTGTTAATAAATTGGCTGCATTGGGGGAAAAGCACGTTCTCTCTATCTATAATGATTCATAAAAATCATTGAAATTTTTTAATTGCAGATATTGAGATAGGATTTCTTCCATGGCTAATGAATGAAGTTGAAAAAACCATGGAATATAGCATGGTGGGAAGAACAGTACTTGATAGTAAGTACTTTTATTTTATTTAAAAGTCATGTCTAGAAAGAATGAGTTGAAAAAAGAGATTAATTTTAGTATTTAAACTTTCAGTGTATTAATTATATTAACACAGATACAAATTTTTACCCTCAGTATTATTTTTGGTTCTTCTATAATTTGATCTGTATTAATATCTTCTGTCATTACTTTATAAATGATATATATAGTTAATATATTTATACAGAATATAGTTAATATTCAATGCATTAAGTTTTACAAAAGTTAAATATGCTGACTTTTATAAAAGGTTATTTTATAGGAACGGGATGAGGCCTGCTGAATGTTTTATACTCATCTATAAATCAGAATTATAACTCCTAAAATATGAAAATCATAGTGATTTCTGGACATTTAACTTTTCAGTGTTAATACGTGAGGTGGTTGAAAAGAGGCTGGATATGTATGAGCGTAAGGAGGACAAACATCAGTCTGTGAACCCCGATGATGAGCGTGGTGGTTCTGGAGCAATGAGAGATTCACCAGTGAGCTACCACTTCCAGGATCTAAGCATGTCACAGACACAGAGGCCACTTCCATATGATGAAGAGCTGGCCCAAGAAAGGAAGTTCATGGACGAGAAAGAGCTCTTAGGGCAGGATGAAGAAGAGAACTGAGGAAATCCTTAGGGAAGGAAGATGTCATAACAGAGGGGAGTCATGAAACCAACCAGCAGCCAAATCAACAATGCCAGCAATCAGGTAATGATGCATGAGGCCCTCAGGCTTAGAAGTTATGTTGTATTTAGTCAACATGTCTTTGTCTAATGGACTGGACAAATCAAATGTGATCAAATAAAATTTATTTTAAATGAATTTAAAATTTATTTCAATTTAATTCATGTATTTAGTAGCATATTCAAAGGCTATAGTGTAATTCTAATGAGAATTGTATTTAATTACTAACTTCCCATTACCACTATATATAACTAGCAATACTTTTCCTTAATCCTTCAGTTTTGTGATTCGTTTCTTTGAGTAAGTATGATATTTAATATTAGATATCAGCCATTGAGCTTTTCTATAGGAATACTATTTCACTTATTCTATGAAAGAATGCCTAATGACCAAAAGCTACAGTGCTCCCTCCTGCATGGACCAAGAACTGTCCTTTATTTGTATAAAATTAAGCAGCCCCTCCATCTTTAATATTCCAGTAAGACTTAAGAGGTTCTACAGATAAGTAATATACTTTCACCTATTTCAGGCAGTGCCAATACAGCAAAAGTCCCTTAGGCAGTCTCATGCCCTTCCTCAAAGGCAAATCACTGTTATCAATTAGGTGTGTACCATCTAGGCCTTTTTAAAAGTATTTGTATGCATATATATGTGAACATCTAGAAATATATAGTTGATTTTCCTTTATATATTATAAATATTATTTGCATATTTTATTTTTCATCTAACAGTATTTCTTAGATCTTCCAACATTAATTCACATAAATCTCTTATCTTTTTAAATGATGATATGATATTACATATCACAACTGTGCTAGAGCATAGGAAATTAACATCTGACTTTTTTATCTGAACGTGTTTAGAGAAGTTACCTGCATATTGAAAATCACAGGTTATTTTATCTCTAAAGCCTTATTAATCTTAAGCAATAATGGAAGTCTTCTGAGCCTTTAGATATAGCCTATTTTTCTCAGAATATTTGTAAATGTATAAACTGTGGTGATTTAAAATGACATACTTATTAACTCATTTACCTTAATTTCTTTTTAAGTTAGATACCAAGAATGTATCCACATTTTAAAATTTTATGAAGTACCCATTTTTCCATATGTCTCTATGTCATTTAAACTTCATAGCAGCTTTCTGAAATATGTTTGACAATGTTTGTATTTTTAGTTTCTAATCATTAGTTGACTTATCCAGCAAACACTAACTGAGTGCCTACTCTGTGTTGGGATCGAGGCTGCAGATACAGCGGTAAACAGATGTGCATACCACATGCATGCTTTTTACAGTCTAGGACTGGAACTAAATGAAGTAAATGATGTAAGTGAAGACACCGGAGCCCAGGGATTCAAGTGATCGGCAATAGGTGGTGAGCCTGTTGTCACCTACTTCAATAATAGCACTTAAGGGGAACCCAAATCTTCTTACTTCTAATCTAGTGTATTTTCTTCTAAACAACCTGACATCTTTGTGAGATACAAAGAATAATTTTAAATAAATTCTTGCATTGACAGCATTGTAAAAGTTGGATTGCTGGGTTAGTTCCATCATGTCAAACAGTGTTTATGATCATCCTAAAATTTATAAGATAATAATTTTGGCAAGGAGTCCAAACAATTTTTAATTAGGGTTGTTGCTGATTATGATTATTGTTACTAATTTTTAAATATCTACAACCAGTTTTTAGAAACCTAAAAGTGGATTTGAGGTGAAGTATCTTCTATAGTTCTAATCCTCCTTTAGCATAACCCAGCTTATTAAACTCTTCACAGACCCTTTGCTAACATTCAGACCTATGCTCTGTAATTTCATACATTAATTTAATTTGTTAAATATATGGAACTCTGTATATCCCACTTGGAACTGGTTAAGCTTAATTGCAATCCTAGTCATCCTAGAGAGAACCACAATTATTGCAAGGTCGGGGCATTGTCCCTGTGAGAAAACTTAGAGAAATGCATTATATGTTATCTGGTGAAAAGAATATTAAATGGAAATTTAAAGTTTTCTTGAAGTTTATGAAGAATTCCTTCAAGCACATGAAGACTTTATGGGAAATCATAAGGTAATGTGCTTAGGTTCTGGATGTCTAGAAGACTTCAGTACTATAAGCAACTTTGCAAATGGGTTGGATGCATAAAAATCTCCAAACTGCCGTTAACTTTGCTTACGTTTGCTAATACCCTTCTCATAAGTTCTATTCCTTTCTATTGTTTCAACCAACAAACAGTAATAATAAAATAATAACATGTACTTGGTATATAGGATCATCATCCCTTACATAAATTCCCATATCACTAAAATAGATCAGAGAGGTAGAATGTAATTTTCTCTAGTGTAGGCATCATTGCATTTAAGCCACTTGAGCCATCTGAGGAATACCAACTTGACTTATGAAGTCACTCTGAGTGGCACAGAGTGGAGATTGAAAGCATGGACTGGAAGCCAACCCCTGGGCTTGAATCCTCACCTGCAAGGAGATAGTCTTTGCCATGAAGAAGAAGGACTGCCTTTCTCTAAACTTTTTTTTTTAATTAGGAAAAATAACTGATTTATCAGTCTTGTGTTTTGTCTTTAAAACATATAGATGAGTGGGGAACTTGCTAAAGAAAAAGTATTTGGAGCTTAGAATTCCTTTCAGAGTCATAATGGGGATGAGGGAAGCAGTATTTTGCATACTACATCAAAATGTCATGGTACCATAATCATCCAAATGTTAATGGTCTCCATTTCTTCTATACTGGAAGTTTTCATTTTTTTATGTTGTCAAAACCTCAACCACATCAGCTAAATTTGTTTTTTATGCTTTGTGTACTATGGAAAATTTGATGAATTTTGCTTTATTCTTTTGTTTATAGATGAATCACAGAAAGTATATATATGTATTCTACAGCTCAATAGCCATAGCCATTTATCTCATTTCACTTCTTTAGCATGAAGGCATTCTGAAAAGACCCAAACATGGTCTTAATTCTCCACTAACCGATTAGCATCCTTCCTTTCTTTCTTTCTTTCTTTCTTTCTTTCTTTCTTTCTTTCTTTCTTTCTTTCTTCCTTTCTTCCTTTCTTCCTTTCTTCCTTTCTTCCTTTCTTCCTTTCTTCCTTTCTTTCTTTCTGTTGGAAACTCACCTCATCGCCCAGGTTAGAGTGCAGTGGCATGCTCACAGCCACCCCAGCGTCGACCTGCTGGGCTCAGGCGATCCTTCCGCCTCAGGCTTCCAAGTAGCTGGAACTACAGGCACTTCCTTCCATGACTGACTAATTTTTTTTATTTACTGTAGAGACGAGGTCTCACCATGTTGCCCAGGCAGGTTTTGAACCCCCAGGCTCAGGCAATTCTCTCATCTCGGCCTCCCGTATTATTTCTTAACCATAATGACTAGGTCTAACCAGAACCAACCTTCTCCAATCTTATTCGTAGTCAAAAACCCAAACAAGAATGTTACAAATAGGTTGTCTCTACTGTGAAAAAGTAGTGCTAATGGTGTTGGATTGGTGCCTATAATTCTCCTTTTGAATTAGAGCACATGTTTCAATAATAGCAACTTATATCATTAAAATTTAATAAACTGATAGTTTAGATGGTGTTTTTCATACCAAGAACATAGCATAACTGAAAGATATGAGTTAAAAGACAAGGTAATGGCATTATAGTCTTGCTTATAAATAAAATCAATTCTTATATTGAAGGTTTGATATTCCAGGATAAAAATATTTTAAAGAGGCCAGGTGCAGTGGCTCACACCTGTAATCCCAGCACTTTGTGAACCAAGGTGAGAGGACTGCCTGAGCCCTAGGGGTTTGAGACCAGTCTGGGCAACTTGGCGAGAGCTTATCTCTACAATAAATTAAAAAATTAGCCAGAATGGTGACACATGTTTGTAGCCCCAGCTACTTAGAGGACTGAGGGGGAAGGATCACCTGAGCCTAGCAGGTGAAGGCTGTGGTAGCTGTGATCCTGTCACTACACTATAGTCTGGGTGACAGTGACTGACTCAAAATAGATATATATATTTATACACATTTTTTTAAGATAAAATAACACTTAAACAATTTTAACTTCTTTTTGAAAACAGATTTAAAAGAAATGAATTTTCATCGCTGTATTCATTTATGATTTGTATAAATGTAAACATTTTTAGTTGTGATAATTGTATATGTGGTCTTTAATAGTTTATATTAGGTGGGCTCGGTGGCTCAGCCTGTAATCCCGTGCCTTTGGGAGGCTGAGGTGAGTGGATTGCCCGCGGGTTCGAGACCCACCTGGGAAACTTGGCGAGACCTCATCTATACAATAAATCAAAAAATTAGCTGGGTGTGGTAGCGTGCGCCTGTAGTTCCAGCTACTTGGAAGGCTGAGGCAGAAGGATCGCCGGAGCCCAGCAGGTCGAGGCTGCGGTGGCTGGGAGTGGCCACTGCACTCCAGTCTGGTTATATTTTATATATATATATATATATTTATATATATATGTATACATAGTTTATATTATATAATATAGTTTATATTATAGTTTATATTATAGTGATATCCATATTTAACACTAGGTGTCAGTAAAACACCAAGGTAAAATTAACTTGCCACCAACTTCATACATTATTTAATGACCCTAAGAGACCTTGGGAGGGAAAGAGTTCAAAAATGTATTTCTTGGATACTGCAGACTCCCACTGAATATTTTGTCTTGCCCTAAAGTTATCTTCCAGCTCTGTGGGGTACCAAGACTCTTAAGATACTCATTTTAGAGTAGACTTTAGTGATTGTACACTCCACTCTCCTTCTGGTTCAGAATCCTTAGCAGATGACCATTTCGTCTTTGCTTCATCACTTTAAAGGTGAGATTTTTCATTCTATGGACTGCTCTAAATAACAATTCTATTTTGCTTGGTTTTATCTCCACAGTCTTGGGCTATGGTTAGTATAGTCACTATAGTCCTCATGTGTATGCCTAATAAGCAAAGGTTGTAACAGGACAGGTTTTGACTCAGTTCTTATTATAAAAAACTCCTTTTACACTGAGTCAAAACCTGTCCTGTTACAACCTTTGCTTATTAGGCATACACATGAGGACTTGATTATGCTGGAAGGAAACAAAAGACTTTTATTGCTTATCAGCCCTACCATATAATAAAAT